GGCGAAGCGTGTCGTTTGTATGGAAAGAAAGATACCACTACTTAGCCTTTTTGTTGGACAACCGGCGAACACAGTGGTCTCTGACCAGGATCAGGAACCAATTCGGTGCCTCGTCAAAAAGACTTGGTTCGAAGAGTAGACGCCTTTCCCCAAGATATTGGTTTTAAGCTCCTGCGGGTAACCTGCATTCTGTCAGACGTCCCGGCCTGGGAGCCCCGTTCGCCTTTGGTACTTCAGTAGATCTTCTAAAATAAAAAGTGCTACTTCAGCCTTAACTACAACTACTCTGTTTGTCTCTGAATAGCAGTGTTGACATCAGATGGTATAGGCTTTGTCTGCCATGGGATCTATAACTCCTCTGCAAAACTTCAACTAGATATAAAGACTTAAATCCTGTTAATATGTTCAGAAAACCCCTTTGAATGAGTGCACTTATTTATGTGTTCTGAATACTGCCAGCAAATTCAACTAATGTAAATTTTAAAACAGAAAGAACTCTGAGAGAAAGATTAGGTTTGATCTTCAACCCAATCAGCAAAATTGTACTTCAAGGTAGAATTTATTTACAAGGTTTACTTCAGAAAATTAACAAAGAAGGAAAGCAATTCTTGTAATGTAAATGAAACGATAGACACAGATATTACAAGAAATTGTGTTCAATTAACCTTTTATTTTGGGCATTTATTTTCACAAAGAAACTAAAATCTAATGCCATCAACGGGCATTTAGCTAATATCTTGAAGATATGTTTCCAGCTTTTCACGAGCAAGCACCGCAAAATATAAACAAATAAGAAAAGCTATTTGAAAGTACTTACCATTCTCGACGAGAGAAAATAAAAAGGAAAGTATAAAGAGCTAAAAGTAGAATGAGTATACTACTTTCGTATGCTGAGGAAACAAGACAGTATAAACGAAAAAGGATAAAATCAAAACTATCTCAATGACACAAGTAACCGTTGACAGATGACAAACAAAATATCCAGCTAATTTCACTGTCCCCATCTTGAGAGGATGAGTAAACCAATAATGGTGAAACATGTCCCAGCAACTATACCAACTACTAAAGCAAAAGCATATACAAGACTTGGAAAGTTGAAGTATTTTTGGATTCTTCTTAGTCCTTTGTCAATGGCAGGTGCCAAAGCAGCTGCTCCTGCTACCCTAAATGGCCTTGTCACATTATTTCCCGCCCACATCGCGATTATAATCTGCCGTTATGAAGAGTGTGTTTTGAGCAAAGCAGAAATGAAAATGCACAAGTGGGCAATTGAAATAGCATACATCAAACTGGGAAGTAAGCTGCAAATTGACACTATGAAACTTTCGAGTTTGGTAAATGGTATATCAACAGTAGCTGCTCAATGAAAAGGCAATTTGGCATGCCACATCCTTAACTTGAATTGGATACTTTATTATAAATGAGGATGCTAATTTATAAGCATTCACTCCGTATCCAAAATCCGAACAACACAAATTTGCTAGTGCATTTCATGATGCTGTCATGAATCTTCCTTTTCTTTAGCTCAAAAAAAAGGTCACCCCCTTTAACCTTTGCACCAAAAAGGTTAGAAAATCAGTTCTCCATTCCTTTAAGCCAAAACTAAGACCATCTCTTCCTTTTATTAATTAGCCATTCTGTTTCTTCAGGCCAAAATTAAAGCGACCTTTTCCAAAGGTCATTCATACCACATTCTTTAACATATATGAAAACCAGTGTCTCAAACCTAGTGGACAATGTATCGGCTGCTGATGCATCCACTACTTTTAGCTCGACTTATATATACATTTACAATTTTCAATGTTTGTGTGTGTGTATATATATGCCAAGCTCAAAACCTTTGCCAGAAAGATATACAATGGTACATTCTACACCTACAACCCCCACCAAAGTTGGTTCGGGAAATCTTGTCGCTGAACCCATAACTCGTTTTAGTTGCAATTAAGTATTTATACATATTTAATGGATTTCCTAAGACTAGGTTCATCCAAATCGATTCCGCTATATTAACATGAGTAGGTAAGCATTACTTACCCCCAAGAGGGCTTGGAGATTTGCAGCAGGATTATTCCCAGTACTCTTCTCATAGCCCAAGAATGCAAGCACAAAGAAGCAAGTGTATGTGACACCATCAAACAGACCATAAGCCAGAACAGCTGCAAGCCCCAGCTTTGCTAACTTTGCGCTCATCTCCGCTGAGTTTTCCTGATGAACAAGCACCCAGTCAATTAACCAAATGCCAAAGTGATTTTCACCAAAATAGGAGATGGGTGTTCTTTACCTTCCATTTCTTCCAAAACCCTTTGCTCTCTTGGTTCTTATCCCACAAAAAGAAAAAAAATAAATCAGAATATTGATCAGGAACATGGGATGTCTCTCTGTGTGTGTGTGTGTGTGTGTGTGTGAGAGAGAGAGAGAGAGAGAGAGAGAGTTACATTTAATTCTTTGTTTTCTTGGAAAAAGCTATCGTCTGCAGTAGATCCCTGAGTCGGGGATGAACATTTGATTGAGTAATGCGATAAAGGGCAAGTCTTGAAATTGCTCCTTTTTCCTTCAAGTTGTTGAAGTGATGGGAGGAAATAAGTGAAATGTGCAGTGCTGCGAGGAGAAAGCAAGAAGCTAATTGGGAATGGAGGAGCACTTGCCATTCCTGGAAAGACACAAGACCACATCTCTTCGACCACACTTTGCTTAATCCCATGCTCTGTACCCTTTTTTTAGCACCCATGTTCACATTAATTTATATGGCTTAATTATGAAATGTGATAAAAAATGTAAAAAATTATATGGCTTAATTATGAAATGTGATAAAAAAAATTAAGCAAATATTTGTTAATAAATTTTCTCCGCGATAAGCCACCATATTTCCCAAAAACACTTCGTACATTGTCATGACCGGGAATTTCGCACCCTCGAAACCGTGATGGAATCTAACATTTCACTTGCTAGGCAACCCAACGTTAGATGCAGTTATTAACCATTTTTAACAATTCAAATCAAATGAAAACCAATAAGTTGAATAAACTGAAATAGAGTAATTAAACTGATAAACAGCGATATCCAACTACAAATCCCAGAACTGGTGTCACGAATACACGAGCGTCTAGAGTACTACAAATAATAGTCTAAATGAAATCATGACTGTCTGAATCGAAATAAAAAGCTAAGGTAATGTAGAAGGCGACTTCAGGACTACGAACTCTGTGCAGTTGTACCTCAAGTCTCCGTCAAGAACTGGATCCGAGTGAATCTACTGGACGCCGCTGGAACCCACTCTGAAATCTGCATAAGAAGTGCAGAGTGTAGTGTGAGTACAACCTACCACATATATTCTGTAAGTGCGGAGCCTAACCTCAACGAAGTAGTGACGAGGCTAAGGCGGGCACTTATAATAACTTGTACGCAGTATATAATAATAACAAGGAAGGAAAACAGGAATTGAAAGTAAGGCAGTTAATTTATGAAAAAGAACTCAATCCTCACAGTCAGAGAACCCAGAATAACCGATCTCATAGTTTCATGTAAAAATGCTGGAAAGCAACATAATAACATCAACGAAAACAACATACACAATTCGTTGTTGCTCGCAACCCGATCCCACTGTAAACACACAATCCTCCTGTTGCTCCCAAACGCACACGCAAGTATACGTGGTCGACAAGTAATATAGGATTGTAAGTCCAGATATCGTACCCACAGGGACTTGTGATTAACTATCAACTAAATTAAACCAAACAATTAATCTATTCAAGCAAATCCTAAAGTATGAATATTTAGCTAAAACTAATCTAAAGTAACAAACTAAGAGATTAGAGAAAACAACGACAAGTTTAAACACGAATTCAATGGGAGAGAATATTCTAGAGCTATGGGTTAGCTAACAATCTCGTTGAGTTTTTCATGTAAATCGTCTAATTAATTTATCTGGTTTATTGGTTGACAGGTTTAATATTGCTCGTAGCCTTCTCCTGAAGTACAACTCGCCTATTCAAGCTAATCTAACACCTATATTCCTATGGAATTAGAATTAACAAGAACACATTGATAATTCCTGTATAGTAACCAAGCAAGGCGATTAGGTATATTCTTATCCTAACCGCAAATCCGCCCTCCCTAAGAGTTAAGATCTTGCTCTACTCAATCTTATATGCAATCTAGAATTCCCTCTCCCGAGTTCAATCCTAGATTCGTTGATAGTATTCAATTGGTGATCAAGCAATCAAATAATTAAGCGCAAGATTGAATAAATAAACCAATATGATAAAATAATAAGAATAATTCAAGCTTCAAACTACAACGTTCATGTAGCACCCAAAACTCTAGAACTAATGAACTATGAAATTAAAGGAAGAAAAAAGAAGAAAAACTAGTTAGAAGCCTCCTCCAAGCATGATGTGTGTTCCCCCCTTGAAGTCCCCTTTAAAGTATGTTAGATATCCTCCAAATTAGGTTTAGGACTCCTTTTATACGAGTTGGGATTGTATAAGGCCGAAATAACATTGTCTCGAACGAAGTAGGAAAACCCCCGCACCCAGCGTCCAGGGCGCTGAAGGCAGTGAACGTTTTTCACAATTTCAATTCTTGTGTTGCCTGGTCTTCTTTACTTGTTTGATTTCAATTGCAAGTCTTTGTCTTCCACTTGGGGGGACAAAACTCAAAGGGTGCCCCCCCCCCCCCCTTTTTTTNCCCTTTTTTTATTCATTTAATTTTTTATTTATTTTTTGTATTTTATCCAATTTTACTCCAAATATCTTCATCTTTACACCAATTTATTTCTACACAGTTAAAATATAATATTAAGTATAATGTAATATAATTAATACTCAAAAGACGATTGGAAAGTACTATAATGTGAGGCAACAATGTAAGTAAATATATGCATTTTTGGTCGAACATCAACACCCCACACTCAGACTCTTGCTCGTCCTCGAGTAAGCATTAAAATCACTATCAATAAATCAAGCCTAGAAACACCACCACTTTGGTTGATACTAACAATTAGGCCCTATAGCAACTCAAACCATCAAATATACACTTCATCATCATTGTGCAAGATATACAAGTCACAAACAAACAACAAACTTCTAACCTCCTAACCTCAGAGACGGACTCTAACTTACCAAATTTAATCTCGCTTACCTACTCTATCAAAGAAGCTAATAACATCACCTATCTATCATGAAACAAGTGCCCTCACAACAAAAAATAGTACATACACTCAAATCAAAGAATGAATATAATTTAAGGACTTAGCATCAAAGAACAACTCTCGCACTCACAAATGAATTCACATGTATGCACAAAGAACCATAGCCTTGCCCATTATGTACATCTCTACTAATGAATCATGCTCGAATAGAATCAAATAGGACTTTAACGGGTTGTAATGTTGGCTAGGGGGCGGGTAGGAGAATTATATAATAGTGACTTACACTTCCCTAAGCACTTTGCATTTTAAGACTTCATCACCCATTATTTTCATCTCTTCACTTTATTTTTCAGCCCTCTCTTCATCTATTGTTTCACAAGTATTTCCCTCATATCAAGAACATTTCAAAATTAATTTTTTTCAAAGCAATTTTTTTTCATTCACCTTTTTTCTTTTCTTTTTCATGTCACATTCTTTTCAAAAAGTCTTTTTCATCACTTTTCAACCATCATTGGTCACCATTTTTTACTTAACCATCCCATTCTTCAAATTTATCAATTAATATCACGGTCTAAGCAACAGTGCTCAAGGAAGCAAGGTGCAAAAACTAGGAATTCAACAAACGGATCAAAGCAAATATACGGCTTCCAAACAAAAGGGTACAGGCTCAAAGGGCTAACTAGTGGTACATATCTGAAAAGGCTAAAATTCACAAGACATTTCAAAGAAAGCCTATTATCATCTTCTAACCAGAGCAACACTTGTATTGCGCTTCAATAACATGCAGGGCAAGTTCTAGACTAAGATGCAAAATATGGAATATATGTAAGAAATCCTCACCACACATGGCACAAGTATCAGTCAAGATGAATCAATTTTACTCTAAGACAGACAGGATCATAGCGAACAACAAAATAAGAATAAGCTATATACAGAGTCACAACCCTGAGCTTAAGTGTCAGAAAGTCTGTTATTTTATTCATTACTCAAGTACCCTGAGGAAAGTACTACTCAAGGCCTAAATATGCTAGTATCAAACAAGTCACAAAGGTTTTTCTTCTCCATCTTTTTCTCCTAAAATAAAATAAAAATAATCTAATCCTAAAAAATAAAAATAAAAAACTTACCCGATTTAAGTTACATACCTTGGAAAAGAACCGATGCACAAAGAAAAACCAAGAGAGATTATTATCTAATTAAAACTAACTAGAAACAAAAATAGAATATATTTTTGGATTTTTTTATTTTATTGGACCTTAATCCCTCAAGAAAGCTGTCCACAAAATCCATCATTAGAAAAAGTCTCAATTTTCTGATTTTTATTTTTTTTTATTTTAATAAAAACTACTACACTAAAAATGAGTACTACAACTAAGCTAAGATAGCATAGAAAATCGCCTAGACAATCTCCTCACCCCACACTTAAAATTGTACATTGTACTCAATTCACACTGAAAATAACAATAGGGTAATAGAGACTTTCTGGTAGGCTAAAGGCCGAAAAATTAGCAGCTCACGGGATACTCAAACTTCTTCCAGGTATGATCCCTTGTGCGAGTACCTCATACTTATTTTCAACCACCTGCTTGATTTTTCACAAGACTATTGGCTTTGACTCCATGCGCCTACTCCTACAAAATACAAAAATAGCACTACAAATACTAACACAATAAAAAAAAAGCAAGAGTAAAAAAGAAAAAGAAAATTGGGTTGCCTCCCAACAAGCGTTTGATTTAACGTCGCGACACGACGCTATCACTTGCACCACTTTTCCTTCCACTTTGAAGATATAAATTGCACCCCAATTTTGATCAATTTTTCTGTCACGTTCCTGGGGCGGTGGTATAAAAAATAAAGGAACCAAGTAAATAATATCGCATCTTGCACTTCTTGGCTTTTAAGTGAGGAATGTCGTTTTGTCTCCTTGTTGTGACAAATTTCAGAATATAAATACTTTGTTCCTCATCTATTGACTCCTCCATATGCTAGAATGGATCAATTTCCATGTCACTAGCCAAACACAATGTTGAAAAGTATTTAGAATGAGGTCCAATATGCTCCAACTCCAAAATTGCATTATTTTTGACATCCTCAATTTTGTACTCTTCGTCAACCTTGGCATCATTAATAAATATTTTGGTCTAATAATTGGTATTCTCGTTTTAGCTCCTCAATTTGGTATAGAATATCTTTTTCAGCTTCACACAACTTATCACTAAATTGTTGGGTGTTACATGCATCAACCTTGTCACACCTCCTTTTTACCTACACCCGCAAGGGCATAAGGAAGTTTTTCCAATTAAAGGACAATCGAAAACGGGATTTATTATTAAAGATTTAGAGTCTCCACTTGGGAGATTTATGGTGTCTCAAGTCACCGGTCGAATCCCGAATCGAGGAAAATATTGACTCTGTTTAACAGTCCGCGCACCAGAAATTCGAGTAAGGAATTATGTTAACCCGAGAGAAGGTGTTAGGCATTCCCGAGTTCCGTGGTTCTAGCACGGTCGCTCAACTATCATATTCGGCTTATTTATCTGATTTT